ATGAAATTTTAATGAGCTTTTTGTTGTTCGCCGATGAGATCCTTTGTAAGCGGCGAAAAGGGCCAAGATCCTAGCGCGACAACGACGAACTTGGGGAAAAACCGCAACAACGGGGCGAAGGCGTAGTGGGGAGCGGGGATTTAAATTGTAAATTAACCCCGGGAGGGTGGGGGGGGGCGGAAGTTGGAGTTGCTCCTTAGATCCCAAATGATGTTTTTATTACGCGATTTTCGGAATGTCGCGATTATTCAAGTTTTCTATTAATAAATAATACCTACACAGAAATAAACTAAATCTTAATTGTAGATTACGTGTATCTTCAACATTTTGTACACGATTTAAATTTAAGTATTTCCAAATTAAGGACGCCAGTTTGAATTAAGAATTTTAATCCGCTTGGAAAACGAATGTGATATTTTCGAGATATATTTTTCATTGTAGCAAATAGTTTCGTTTATTAGTAAATCTCGGAAAGAGGTGACAGCAGAAACAATTCAACACTCCTATCCGTCATGCAGGACTTATTACCGAGACAGAATACGAACATGATCAGCCACTAAGCGAGCGGATAAAGAAAGCAGTTTCAAACCACAATTACGTTTACAAGTGAGGAATTGAAAGATTTTATGGTGATACATCAGGATCAGCAAGAAAGGGTGAGGAAGAGCACCAAGAGGAGCAAGAAGATGAAGAAGTTGATCTCGGACCACCACCAACCATTCAACAAGCCGTCCTATATTTAGTTAAGCTGCTAGAGAAATTTTTTATGCATCATGTTGTAACGGGTTCAATTTGTCATTGGCTACTTCGACTTATGTTTCTCACATGTAGGTTAATAATGCTCGGAGACTACCTATTAAATGTTTTATTCTCACAATTACACACTGTCTTAATCCTCAAAACTACGGGTTTTGCTAATTATTCTTCACTACTTCATTCTGGTCGAACACACTGTAACTATTTAATTGCTTGGTGTGGTCTGCCTGTCCTAAAATAAATGTAAATTAGTGTAAGTCCTTGCATTTTTGCTGCAATTTAGGATGTTACTGCAGAATGCGGTTGGATTGCACGAGACGATCGTCCTGTATTCCTTCTTATTTCCGAACTAACGGCAATTTCTATTTTGTCCCTTGCTTTCATTTATTTACACTTGTTATAATTGGTTATTATTGGTAATAGCGGATAGTAGTTAGGTAATATTTGGTCTCCTTGCGTTGATTAACTCCTGTCATTGTTGGCCCATTGACCCTAGTGGTGTCAGAACCGAACATCGTATTGCCAGCACCATCGGTCTTTTTTTTTTGGAACTTTGTGAAACTTCATCGGTCTTTCTTTTTTTGGCTTTACGATTTCCGCCGGTGCAAGTGGTTGCAAGATTTCAATCCGAATAAGTTTGTGGCATCTCGTAGTTTTCGAGGATTAAACCGGATTGAAATTTTGATTGATTGAAAACATTACAGCTTAAGCTGGATTAAAGCTAACCGACCTAGCACCTGGCACTCTTCACCGCCACCCACGATCATCAGGCGTAAGTTTCACAATTTATTTCACGCTTTGCAAGTAAGTATGGACACCGCAACTCATTATTTTGTTTTGTAGGGTTTTGGTTTTGGATTTGGTTTTTCTTTTGGAACCAGTTTTTGATTGATTGAAAATTCGTCAAGTTTTCAAGTTAGCTCGGTTCAGGACGTTGCAGTGCATATCTCCTCGTCCAAGAGTGATAAGCATTCGTGCCTATCCCACTGACTGGTGAACCCGTAGGCAGTATAAAGAACAGCCATCTTAGAGCTTGCCCGACTCGTTCGTTGCTGGTAACTGGAGGATCACAGATAAACCTCTATTTACGATCCGGTTAATTTTATGCCTGGAGGAGAAGTAGACAACCAAACGCCAACAGAAAATTGACAATACGAAAAATTTTTGAAATAGAGAGAAAAACTGGGCAATGAATTTTTTTCTTTGCCTAGAAGTAGGTTTAAAGTAATGATTCATATGTTTGATTAAATCGGCATTCGGGATCACAAAAATTCTCTGCATTCTCATTAAGTTAAAGCAAATAAAGTAAATATCTGCTTTGGATTACCTTGTTAATAAAATTTATTTTATGCTATTTATGTTATTCATATTTATCACACACTTTTAACAATCGTAGACATCTTGTCATTATTATTAATGTATCTTTTTTTATATTTTTACTCCATTTTTATAGTAATATGGCCACCTTCTCAATATAAACTTATGCTCATGTTAATAGAGTAACTTTATATTTTTCAAACTAATTTAATTTGAATTACCTACATTCTTGTAAAAAAATTTAACATCCTCAGACGAAGCATTTCATTTTGTTGAGATTTATGCAATTGCAATGTAGTGGCCTAGTCGGTAAGTAAAATGACATTCACAATTTAAGTTTCCCACAGAAATTTTACCCGCCGTTAGCATGAACATTAGTGGTTTTTACAGCTTTTATATTAATATCTTACCAATACCAAGTGGACAATTTTCAAATAACCATGTCTCGTCAGTACAAACAAAACAAATTTGAAGGTTAGGGCCTGCTTTTTCTTGCTTATAAGATCTTAAAAATTTATCTTTGGATGATTTTTCTTCTAATTACAGTCTATTTCTTTAAATAAACTACTCAATGATCATTTAGAAAAGTGAAATAAACAACATAACGTTTTAAAGTTATGTTTATTCCATAGTTTATATGACATGTGATCATATCTCCCTTATCTAACGTACACAGTTGGAAAGAGACAACAATAGCAGAACCGATCGGAACGATAAACGTATAGGTTTAATGACAACTATACGAAATTTAGTAATTCGTTAATCTGTTGTAATTTTTAATTTGTTAGATTGTGACGGTCGAAGAAAAAGTATAGTACGCAACACGTTTGGTAAACTCTTTTTTCTACTCTACCCACCGATCCTAATTACACAGAGTGAGGGAAGCATCACTTTACCACGTCAGTTTTCTTTCCCACGAATCCGAGCCACTTCGGACATTTCCGGGATTCTACCGCACGGATTTGGAAGCAATCGGATGTTTTCGGAGATATTTCCCGCGCTTTGAATTTTGACGTTTGTCGATTCTGACGGTCATGTCAGTGAATGTATTTCTTGTTGTTTTACGACAATGTACCCAAAAACTAACGGTCATAGAAAAACTATAGTATGCACCACGTTCGGTAAACTTTTTAACTCACTCGTTTATTAAACACTCGCTCCGCTCGTGTCAAATAAACTCGTGACTCGTTTACCGCACTTGTTGCATAATATACCATTAATTCCAAAAAATACGCACTGTTCACTTAACTTAATATGCTTCGCGAGATTTTTTAAATAGTTTTTGCGGAGGTTGTTGAATATTAATAAACAATAAATTATCCCAATCGATTAGCATAATATTGATTTGACAGAGCAATCGTTTACAATTGATCGCCGACGTTTGTTATATTCTTTCGTCATTTGAATCACAACGGCTGAAATTGGGTTGTAACTAACCAACAATCACCGTACACTGGCAAGTGCATCCAGAGGAGTCTCATCAACACATTTTACTTTTAATAAATAAATATATTAAGTTAGCTGGCACTTTAAGTAGTAGTGATAAGGAAACAAGACTGCTTTCGGTTCGCATTGTTCTTCTATCGTGCTCCTGCGGACCACTATCGGAATATCGCGAACACTCTGTACCATACTTAAAAACCTTAAATACAAAAGTTTTAGCTGTATATACGGGCGATATCGTCATGTAAAAGAAACTGACATCTAAAACACCGATTTTAAATTACTGCCAATTTTCAATAATAGGGGGAACCTATTTTTCAGTTTTTTTGAATTTGCGGCGCACCTTGTATATTTTTGAAAAATTGTCAAGAATGAAAGTGTATGGAGCCGTATCTTGTGCGTCTTCCGGTTCAAGAATTTTTTCGGCCATGTAAACGGTTTTTGAAAAATGGTCTTTTTTGTAGACTCTTGCACACGAGATTGCAATGCCCAGTAAACAATCGAAAATCGCGAAAAAAAGATGCCATTTCTTACAAGCTTATGTATCTCGTGAAGGGTTAAAAAGGAGGTAGATTTCAATTTTGTAGCTCCAACGGTTGGAAAGTTATTCAGGAAAACTCACAAGACGAGCACGGAGAACGGACAGACAAAAAATTTCTTTTTCGATTTTTTGAAAGTAACAATTTTGAGGTAGAAGAGAAACCTTGAACCGTTATTGAAGAATCTTTCATCTGTTTATAGCAAGCATTTGTTAATGATCGTGGTGGTGCCTGAAGGAATCAACTACGCTTCAGATAATATGAAGAAAAAACCTAGAAAACATTAATCTGACAGTTCTTTCTTGAGGGTTTTGAAACAGCAACCAAGAAAGAGTTGGAAAGAGAAGTGAGCAAGACCATGCAAAACTAGTTACCATCATCATAAAGATACGAAAGATTATGATTACTGTTCATACGTGAACCACTCGAATGAAAAAGAACCAAACTATATATTATTTGTAGACGATATCTTTATCTTTGATAAATTTTGATAGCTTTGATAAATATAAAAAATTGTATAAATAACAGCGATTTACGATTATGTGTTTCCAAATATCTCTCGCGAACTGAATTTTAATCAACTGCTAGTAATTTACTCTCGCAAAAAGAAAAATTTTCGGGGTCATCGAGATTTTTGTCTATAACTGAAATGGGGGTCATAGTCCCGCATTTTCCGCGTCTTCTGGTTCAAAAATTTTGCCAACAGTTTCTCAAAAAAATAAGGAGATAAAATAACAAAAAATTTGTTAAAAATACTTTGCCACATTTGATTGCTCTTAACGTCCATAGAATAGATGTCGGTATGAACTGCCCTTGCCAAATCTGAAAATTTCTGAAGTTGTTCGCGTTTTTATGACGCGTCTCCAGGGAACAGAGAACAGACAAAAAATAAAAACATCTTTTTCGACGATCGCGTCCGATCTTTCGAAAGCTGATGACACTTACTGTTGACGTTTCGCCGCCGGCTCTCAGCTCGTCGTCTTCCGCTGTCGCGGGCTGCAGTTCTTGATACGAGTCGCCGCTGCTTCTTCGGCTACCGCCCGCCCCGCACACCGCCCTTCGGAACGCCCTCGCGACCAGCGAACACAGACCGCACCTGCGTTTCACCGGTGCCGCAGCGGCGGACAGACGCCGGCCCAACCGCCTTCCGCCGCCGCCGCCGCCACTGTCCGCCGTTAGCTGCTGCCCCCCTTCCCCATCGCCACAACACGCCACTGCTCCGCAACCTAGAGCGGCGCCCCGCCCCTGCCGGACGCCGTCCCTAGCCACTGCCACACTACGCCACTGCCACCGATGTCTCGCTTGTCCGCTAGAGGGCGGGTCACTCACTCATCGATAGTTTTATGGGGTAGTATTTTTAACGACGACGACGAACCGGAACATTTAAATGCGATTATTTATTTCCGCAGAAACGACTAGATTTACACCTGAAATAAATACAAATCCGTACGTCTAGGCTTCCGTCTTAAATATTTAAAATGTTTTCGTGAGAGAAAGAGTCGCTAAACACGAATGTATTGATATTTCAATTGAAACAAACACAACGGTAAGACACAAACGAATTTTGAAAAGCTCAAAACTTATATAAATATAAATGAACTAAGCATTGTAATGAAATTGAAAACAACAGCTGATAACATATGCGATGTAAACTTTTAGAAAAATAATTTTTGTGCAATCGGATATCCAAGTTGCTTTAATTCAGGAAATAGAACGGGGAGAAAAGAAAAGTGCAAAGAAAAAATAGTTCAGGCTAAAGCGGCAGGCAGTTCTAGTGAAAAACTAAGAAAGCCAACAGTGGTTCCAACCGCAACGTCTTAAAAATGTACCACCCTCTGGACCTATCGTAAAACTAAAAGCAGAAAAGTTTGCTGAACAGCTTGCCATTATCAATTTCAAGGCTTCGGAAGGATGGTTGGTTAGTTTTGGTTGGAAGTTCAAACAGAGACATGGTATAAATTATGGACAGATAAGTGGCGAAGCCCGTGATGTCGACAGAAACGTCACTGACGATTGGCTGGAAAAAAGAAAGCTATTCGTCATTGGAAAATCAACTAACCCACGATGATTTAAGAACATGAAGCGTTTGCCGGTCACTTACAAGGCAAACAAGTCTGCATGGATGACATCGCAAATTTTTGATGAGGAGATACGGAAATGCGATGCAGAATTAAAGGGGAGGAAAATATTACTTCTCTTAGATAACTGCCCTGCACATCCCCACATTCCTAATCTAGACAAATTTTACAGATACAACAGCAGACTTGGCAGAGGAAGAGCACCAAGAAGAAGAAGAAGATGAAGAAGTTGATCTGGGAAATTTTTCATACATCATGGGGAAAATACCCCTCTCGAAGAAACGGTGAAAATACAAGCCAAAGTGCGAAATGCGTATTGGCATACTAAAAAAATTCAAAATAAATAAAAATTAAATATTACACAAGAGAATAAAAAGCTGCTTCGCGCTAAGCGCTATGAACTTGCCCCGCCCAGCAATCTTCTTTCTCTTTTTTCTTGGGTTTAGGAAGTTTTGCTCACTCTAAATGTACTTAGTTTCAGTGTACCATTGTAAATTGTGGCGTTAGTTCATTATGTTAGAGTATCTCGTTATAATAAATAAATAAATTCAAAGGTTGACATTTGTGTTTATAATCGGGATTTTCCAGGGAATTCGAATGAGTAGTAGTCCCCCTTCTAGTCGCTAGGTGGCACCACGAGCTTAAAGCAGAACCAAAATACTGTGGAATAACTAACCGTACATGGTATACTCGCGATTTATGGTTTAACCTCGTTCCATTTTAAAGCCTGCTTATAAAAAATTGGTTTCGAACGACTGAGGAGGTAAAGAAAAAATCGCTGGAACAACTCAAGGCTACACCAGAAAACGTTTACCAGAAGTGCTTCAAGAATTGGAAAAAACGTTGGCACAAGGGGACAACATTAATTTTGATGAATAAACAATTAGTTTTCGATAAAACTTAAAAGTCGCCCTGCTTTTTGAACACACCTCGTAGATCTTTTTAATTTCCTGTAGTACATAAAAATTTAGTCGCCATTGGTCCCAAATTTTGCTTACCACTTAGGTAGATCTGATACGCGCTTGCAAACGTGTAATAACGTCAGCAATATAAGGTTCCGTATTAACCATCATACTTTTTATTTTCCCCTTGAGAATTTTTAAAGGAAAGCGATAGTTTATTGGAAAGTTTAACGCGCATACAAGGTGTAACCATCACATAATATGTAAATTTAGACAAAAATAGATACTTAAAAACATAATATAAAATAATATTTGTTTTTGTGTGATAAATAGCAGATGATTTATATGACAAAATGCATTAAAAACAGGAGCAACAAGCTACATCAAAATTGGTAATTGTCTTTTTCTAATACATTAAAAATTATGATGAATAATGACAAAATTGTCTTATTTCGTGATCTGAAGTACAGAATATTCGACATCGATCAAGATTTGAAGCCCAGAAGTTCCAAGACATTAAAATGCGAACGGACCTCTTTTTGAAACCTTAAAACAAAGACAAACCGATGTCCATGGCGATCAGAACTAAGCTAGTAAGTTTTTTCTATTGCTCCTCGTAACTTTCCATTCACAACATCCTGCCACTGCGTATATACGACACCCTGTATACCGAGGCGAATAGATCGTCAGACAGTCCACGCCCATTTGCCGATATTACGCGTCTATTTTTATAAAAATAAATTATCGCTTGTTTGCAGTGGTATCGGTTTATCGCCGATGATATAATAATTGATTAGCTATGTACGAAATGTGTCACATTATGTAAAAACAGCACCGTAGATCCGACAGATCGATAAACGTCGCGGCAGTTTACCGGACACTTATTTTATGATACGGCGGGAGATAAATTTTAACACAAAGCGTGGACCCAGACGAAAGAGTTCGACCCCTGGCTGAATAATACGCGGTGCTGACTTTTATAAAAAAATCATGAATTTTTTGATTTTAATTGATTTTTTTTTAATTTCATAAGAATATGTATGTATAAAATTTTCTTGGTCAGAGATACCAAAGGGTAGTTATAGGAAATATTCAGATGCCATTGCTTTGGAGAAGGGTGTTCCCCAGGGGAGTATTCTGGGACCCATTCTTTTCTCAGTTTATACAGCTCATCAATACGCCGATGATACTCGGTTATATTTACCTTTTGTTGCTATTGAAGCTTTAAATAAATAAAATAAATTTAGATCCAAAAGTAATAAAAAAACCTCTTATTAAGATATTGTAATAAACGCCTCTTTTAAGAATACACTAAACGATGAGATTATCTCTTCACTCGGGCGTAAAAACTTAGGATTATGGTTTGACGGTGACTTGCAGTTTTCTAAGCATGTTGGCTTGGTGTTACAAAAAACCTTCTATAAGTTGAGGACATTTCTCAGTAAAGAAGTCAAACTTATATGTTAGTTTTATCCCATGTCGCTTATTGCAGTATTGTCTATTGGCCAGCTATACTTAATCGAGATAAGGAGAGACTCCAATGTCTTCAGAATGCTTGTATTCGTTTTAGTTACAATCTCATTCTATTTTTTTTATGCAGAATAGAAACAATCTTTGTTACGTGCATTATAGTCGTGGAAATCTCCGTTTTTTTGTAAGGTATTTTTATTTTTGTATACTCATAAACAAACTTCTAATATGTATATACACGCTAAAGGCGCCTTGAAGAGTTTGATAACAGTGTGAGGAGACTAAACTTGAACAGTCGTCAGCGAGCTCTGATAGACCCAAACTAGGTAGGTGAGCAGATTGTTCATTGATAAAAAGGATAAATAAAACAGGGCCAAACACTGTACCTTGCGGTACGCCTCTATCTACAAATTGGACTGAACAAGTTCAAAGCTATTCCACGAATTCCGTATTGTTCCATCCTATTCAAATAAATTTCATGGTTCATACAGCCAAACGTCCTGCTAAGATCACAAAATATCCGAGCAGTGTGCTCTCCATTTGCGTTGATCTACCTGTGTTGAAACCGTGCTGTCTTTCAGACAAAATTTTGTGTTAACTTAAATAATTAAATTTTAGCAAAGCACGATGTAATTGTGATTTTCAAAGATGGGAGCCACATGGGAAATTTTCAGGGCTCCCTCTGTTAATGATGCCCTTATCAGGGAGGTCAATGGACTCAGGATATAGTCGGCACACTTTTGGAATATTACAAAAGGCACACCATCAGAGCCATAAGAATTTTTGTTTTTTATTTTATTTTTTATTAAGTTCGATATTTTCTCTTGAGAGAAAGGTCTAATGTACATACTTTCAGGGAAGCTTCCAATTACATCTAGTAATGAATTTTTGTGCATGGTAGATGACTTCTTAAGTTTGTCAACTATTTTATATTCGATGCATTGAAAATTCTAATGAAAAAAAAAGGTATTCATTTATTAAGACTTGGTTATCAACGTTATCAACAAGGTTTTTAGATGACATATATGAGGAGGAAAAGCCGAAATGTTTTCCTTCTCCGTCAGGACAATGCTCACAATGTCAATATGTCCACTGACGAGTGGTCAAGCGTCCACAATGAATACACAACCGAAGATGGCCCAGCACTTCTTTACGAAACTGTTGACACTTCGGAAAAATCTCATACTTCGCAATATTTGACTGAACTAGGTTGTGATATGACAATATGACATCTTTTGTGACAGATAACGCAGCAAATATGGCCCTCACGCGAAAAACTTTGGAGGAAACGACTGACTCACAGTTATATCTGAATGAATAACGCCAATTTTCGGGGAAACTTGCCTTTATTTATAGTGATACACCATTTGAAATGGAATTTAATTTACTCTTAGCATAATATACAGGATGTTCCATATGAAAAATGCACCATTTTGTATCTCATAGGCAAATCGTTGGTTTCGATCAAACCTGGACGATATAGAACTTTCGATATAAAGAATATAAATAAAAGAATATAAAAAATATAAAAAAATATAAAAATAAAAGATATAAACGATAGTTCTCGATTTCCTCCCGTTGTTGTTGTACAGCACTTCATCAAACCCAGTGACTAAGAAATTTAGATATTTAATTTTTTAAAATACCTACGTTGCTCCGAGAACGTTGAAATTTTTATTGAGGATGAAGGTCAATGAGGTCTATCCGAAAATATTTACAAAAGATCGCCATCACCTCTTCAAATTTAACACCCTCTATGTTAAATACTAAGACGTTTTGGACTCTAGTTTAAATAAGCTATCCTTATTTTGGGTAACAGAAGACGTGGTTGAAAAATTGACGTCTAATTTCGGGACACCCTGTATATCTGTGGATTCAGTAATGTCAGCGAGCTTCATCTAAATCCATCCAGAATGATGTTTCAAATTTTTGTTTGTTGTTGTTGCGTCATCGATTGACAACGCTTTGCTGTCGTAA